ACATACTCAACGAGCGCAAATTTGTATCCGACACAGCTCCGGGGCCCGCCCAGAAACGTCATCATGTGCCCCCACACTCCCGGGATGGTGGTGGTGAGCGGGGATTCCCAGCGTTCCGGGCTGTGAGAAGCTGAAGATCAACGAACGGAGAAGGTGATACATATGAACTACGCACACAAATTCTCTCGCGTCGGGGCCCCATATTGCGGTATCCACATTCAACGCCCCGATAGGGATGGTTATTTCAGTGCCCTTGGGTATGCTGGAAAAGAAGGATGAATATCCGATGTTCACGGAATTGCGGACCGAGCCAATACTTCAACGTTTCGTGCACCTTCCCTTGGGTGTCGGTGAACGGATCCATAAGCGGTACCACATCATCGCAAAGCGACTCGCGGGCTAACGTTACAGTTCAGTATTTCCATAAAACATGGACGTCAAGAAGGCTTCAACGTACCAACGAGAGCAACGGGCGTATGCAGACGCAACACCTCGCGCACGACACAGTCGAGATACGGGAGACTGTTGAGTTGGTCCATGGAAGGGTTCTCCGTGTCAACGGAAAGCAATTCCTCGCGGAGTCGCGTTTGGGCAGCGGTGTTCTGAGTGAGCGCGTATAACGCCCACGCCATGGCCGAGCTGAGACGGAGAATGAGCACACCCATTTTGAAGATTTAACAACAACTGGTTACCTCGTGGTCTCGTATCCGGCGACCAAAAATGTAGGCACCTCTATATTATTGGGTACTTGAGACGGATTGCCAAATGCATGGGACAGGCCAACCCACGCGCAAGAACATCCTCGTCGGAGAGTCGCTGATGCACCGGAATCTCCTTTGACGTGTTCGCGCGCAGCAGTAACGTGAGAAGGTCGCGCGCGTCGCCGGCCTCGAACGTCCCGCTCTCGGCGAAGTCGCGCTTGCTAGCTACGAGGATCTGGCGCGCAATTCGCTCCATCGTTGCGCGTGCGTCGCGCGTAATTCGGTCAGCCTCGGTTGGCTGTTGGCAGTGAGATCAGACAGTGCACCCGGCAGAACATACAAGGGATGCATACGATGCCCCGTAGGATAGGCCAGAGTCCCTGCAAGAAGAAGATGGGATTGAACTTGACTGCGAGCATCGTTTCGAACGCCGTAGCGAACTCGTCCGGGATGTCCTCGTTTTGCAGGCCCAACGCGTTGATCTTGTGGTTGAAACCTGCAAGTGCAAGGGCGGCAGTTCTCGTCTGTCTGCGAACATGAGGGCAACTGAAATTATACCTGCGAGGCCGATGATATCCAGTGTGGCCTTGTTGAGCCACGAAACGGCCTCAACACGCGCCACACCATCTCTTTCTTCCGCCTGGGCGGCCCAGATATCGCGGAGCTGGGCGATCAAATTATCGCCACGATCGACAACCTCGGTTCATACCTGGTTCGCCGTTTTCACAAAGATTCCCGTAAGCTCACGAACTTGCGGGGATCCAAATGCGGGGGCCTACAAGTGAATGATTTGTGGGCACTTAGATTATGGGTATTTATGATACGTACCACAATTCTACGCTGAGGTCCAAGAGTCAGGATTCCACGCCTAAGATCCAATGCGTAGCTAACCTGTTGTCTGTGGATTTCACCGTCGACAGTGACAATACCTGGTACCGACCACCAGTAGACATTGATAGCCGGGCAAGAAGTACGAATGAATACGCACCTGGTCCGCTAATCCTTCTCAAGAAGTAGCGGATTGGCTCTGGCTTTTGGTAGACGTCCGTGTGGAACAGGAAGTGATGGATGGCCTTGGTGTCGACGGTGTAGATGCTGGAGTTGCCCTGCTCCCGAAATCAATAGCATTCGAAACAGGATTCTGTGGCTGACCCAGAATCCGTGGATCTTCATTGTGCGCCCGTGTTCCTCGATCCAACGGGCTTCGAGAGCGGAGGATGCCTTCGGAATGCCAGAGTTGAGCCACGGGACGACTGAAAATGATACTATACGCACGGCGCCTCTCAGCTGCAATGAGTTTCCGGTCATCCAGTTGGCAGGTTTGGGACCCCGGACATATCGTATTGGCGAAGCGAGGTTGGTGTACGCCCTCTGAATGATCCGATAGACAACGTAGAACGCGAGCGATGTAGCCAGCTTGACCAGCATGTTGAGGGAGCAGAAAGAGATCTTTTTTTGGCCGTGCCGTAACTCGCACAGCCCGTTTTGCCAAGTAGGAGCATCAATCACGGACGCCGCGGCAGAGGTACAAGTACATAACGCGTTTTCCGCGCGACCAGTTAGCGCATAAGAAGCGTCGGCATTCAACCTGTGGGAAGCGCGTCGGGAAAAAGAAATCTGCGTCAGAGTTTTTGGTCGTGTTTTTGGTCCAATGGTAGCCTACATATGTAGATTAGCCCCAGTTGAAGTTTGGTTCCGAATTCCCGTAATTTTCAAGTACGCATGTTCCTTGCATCTTCCGAACGGAACTTCGCTACCATGTCGCCCTTGATGTCGCCTGCGGCCATTCATCTTTTGGCCCCGCGTTGGGTGGAGCCTTGGAGTTGGAGGCAGACCGCAGTTACCACACGTATGTACACGCTACCACGCACCCAAACTGCCGAAGTTCAACGTTCAACCCGTTGGGCAATGGGTACAGACTGTTGCATCAGTTATGTGGCATCGTGTAAAACATTTGGCCGAAACACAGAAATCTTCGCGGAATCTTCGTCGGCAAAGGACCGGCAGCCGGGCCGGTGAAACTGAGAAAAAGCTCATTGCCTCGATCGCTCACCCCAAGTGCACCCTTGACACTCTCAACCACATTTTGAATGACCACTTGCCATTCGGACCACCCCCCGCCAAGATGCATCAACTTGAAGGACGCGGTAGCCCAGCAGGCGATGCGGCTCGGAGGCTCCTGGCCTTTTTCTGCGACACACCCGCCAGCGGTGTACCTGCAAGTAAATGCCTTGACCGGAAATGTGCGCGCATGTTCGTCGAGACCGGGCCCCGAGTGCAACCGGAGTTTGTACATAGTCCCACCTTGAGTCCCGGAGCCAAAGAAGCAAAGCACTGTGACTGATCGCATTTACTCTTGTCTTCCCGCCACCACGGTGGAACAGTCAACGTCGAAAATGTAGGTCAATTCACTGCTCTTGAATCTCGCCAGAACTAATGATACATTTAGAAAACACTATGCAAGAGCCTAAGAGCGGTGTAGAATGCGACTTTGGAATGTGTCCGCTACAGGACTACGACACAGACGAAAATGATTTCACGAGAGAACCTCTAATGAGGTGCTCGACGTGTAAAAACCGGTTCTATTGTGTATGTCTTCTCTGTATCCTTCCATGGATATATAATCTCTCGGCCGACTGTGATCCAGAGCGCGAAATGTCAGAAAAAGGACTGGAAAGAACACAAGTGGAACTGCTCCGTTTTCCCCTCAGCGGATGGCCTTCCTGCGGCGACCGTCATTGAGATCGACGATGTGTTCAGGGCGGAGGTCAAGCGCGTAGCTGAGATCCTGAAGGAGGTGGCGGATGCGTTGAAAGACGAGAAGAAGAAGTTGTCGGCGTCGATGCTTGCTCCGCTCCTCAGTGTGTCTTTCTCTCTATAACACAAGTATCTTATCTCTGAACTCTCACACTCAGAAATCACGTCTGAGCTTCCTGAGCACCTTCGGTATACGCGCGCGATAAAGGACAGCGACGAGTTCAAATATCGTCTCCCAATCATCACGGCGTGCAGGCTGCTTCTCATCGACTCTATCTCTACACTCGATGAAACTGAACTCCAAAGGTACAGTGAGTCCTTCTCGTCGATGCGGATCCCAGCGAGCTGGTGTGAGATGTATGGCCCGAAGATTGTGGGCCAGCCGGCGGACCTGAGCCCAGGCGAGCACGAGATGGTCTCACAGGTGATGCCAATCTTAGGGACTATGTCCGAGATGGAACACGCCAAGGCGGAGAGGAGAGAAGCAGTAGAATCGGAGGGAACGGACGTGGGGGAGCAGGAGGAATTGCAATGGATCTCACTCGGGTTGGTGTCGAAGAAGGCGTATAGTGCCAAGTCGAGGCCCGCCACATCCTCCGCTTCGACTTGAAAGTTCAATCGTCGTGCAAGGACGTTTGTTCAGTTGGTACTTTTCGTGCTTTGAGATGTCTTTCTCATTCAGTGTTATTCAGGGTAATTCCAACTCCGAACTTCACCATTCTGTATACCCTCGCTGCCTATTGTCGCCGCTTTCTTGTATCAACATGATTTCTTTTCGATGCGTTTTCTGCAACCCCGAATGAGACTTGTGCGGGGAAGTGGCATCCTCGGCTTTGATCTCACCACTAGGCCCGCTCCGCAACGCGAGCTCCCGAGCTCTCCCGCCCCAGTACGTATCATAATTGTGTCATAACTGTCGGAGCCTCAGCCCTGAGACACGGAGTCGCCGGAATCTGGCGCCAGGGGAAGCCGACTCTCCGGGCTCACCTTTCGAATCAGAGTCATACGTCTCGTATAGCAGTTTGGGTCCGTGGCCAAAGATCCTGACATTGCATCTTGTGGGAACAGTCAACTGTAGTGGGCGAATGGGTCCGTATCAGCTTTCGGGAAAGAGGTAATACATGACTCGGCTCGATACTTTGGTGGTCAGAACTGTGCCTGTTTGCCTGTTCAACTGTGGCACAATTAGAATGATAGGAGGTTACCAAGAGTAAGGAAAAAACAATATCCTTTGCTCCTTTATAAAGGGTTTGAATGTAGTCTGAATCGTGTTTATGGGTTTCCCCGGTCAGAATACAAGGCGCCAGGACTCAGAAAGTTCTCTTTATGGTGGCGGTAATGGCGAAAAGAAAAAGCCTCCGGCCGATGCCGAGTACAAGTGCCGTGAAAAGTCAACCAATGTTCAACTTGTGGAAGCAACTCAGAAGGGATCCTTAGGTCTCCACAAACAGTATTGAGTGTTGAGTAAAATTCGATGTCAATATTTCTCCTGTGAAGAGTTGCGCATCAAGTCGGGGAAAAAGTATTCAAGAAGTTGAACAGTGGCTAGGCCTTGAATCGAACAAGGGGTTTCCTCTGAGATTCAAGAGAGGCTTAAAGTTAAGAGGATGTGCTACCGTTGCACCATCCAGCCATATATTGTATCTTTCGCAACGACATGATAGATACTGAGGTATTGATGGGAATTCTGAACTTGCTGTAAAACGGTGTAATATAAAAGATGAGGCATCTCCTCTCACATTCTCGGTTTTTAAAGTTGAAGAGCTCTGCAGAACCCGGCTCTTCTGACCTTCCTAGCGAAGCTATGTAGTGTACAATTGGAAAGCCAACAAAAAATAAATTCGAGATCAAGTCTTGCAAAATCGCGCCCAAATTCAACCACGCGCGTACGAAAGGCAGCAGAATTAAAGCGAGCATTGCACTGCCTGCGATCTCTAGATTGGAGGTATAAATCTTTCTCAATTCAAGGAAATCCGACACAGAAAGAGAGCTGAGCAAAAGTAAGATACACCATCCGAGGGCATTCTCGCGGATACATCTATCGGCGTCTCAGATCACCTCTGAAACAACATCGTGCATCTTGGTCCGAGCAGCGCAAATCTTCGGGCAAAGTAACAACTGCGTCTGGAGACGTATTGCACACCGTCAAGCTCTAGCGTTTAGTGGGGCACCTTCTAGCATTCACTTGTAGGCCCATATTCGCCGCCCCCGCTCAGCTCGGATACCTTCGGTGGCCATGTGCTTCTTGAGTCACTTGTACTGCCAACTTGCTGAAACTTCTACTGGCTCCTCTTAGTACGCGGTTCCTGTGCCGCGCAAGGCGACGCGGATCTGACTACTGAACACCGAGCGGTGTGCTGCAATTCCTATGAGCGAGTCGCGGAGTATGACATAGACGCGGATCCCGCTCTACCAGTTAGTTAAGCTTCAACTGCGCAGTCATCGGTCTCATCGACAGTGCCCAGAGCTCCGTGATACTGGAAGACAAACCTTCTTATATTCGCCGGCAGCACATGGTACCCCTGAGGGAAGTCGTGCCACGGCGAAATCGAGTTGGTGGCGAGAAATAAAGCTTCCGAGCCTCGCCACGCACACGTGCTACTTCCTCGGAAATTCAACTAATCTTCAACCCGCTAGAAACCTGCCAGAGGAAAATCTGTCTAGGATGAAACTGACTTGCAACCCTGTAATTTGAGTTCTGTTGAGAGTGGGAAAAAATGTAGGATAAAAAATAGATACGCTAAAAAATGATAGCCGAGCCTTGATTTGAACAAGGGGTTTTCTCCTAAGTATAGAAGCCTGCAAGCTCGTAATTAAAGAGAGTGTGTTACCACTACACCACTCGGCCCTTCTATCATTCCCGGACAAGTGGCCAATGAATATACGAGCAACACTGATGCAGTGCGGAGCAAAATCGAATTCAAGTCCACATGTTTGTTCAAAAGGCGACCTGTCGTGTTGGCACGGACACCTGCATGACTCGTACTAAAATAGTTTTAAAATTAGAGCGTCTTGCGGACTATGTACAGTAACCGAATGGCTGCCCTAACGGTACATAGGTCTGTTTGGTTGCGGCATCAGAAACCAGAGATGAGGATGGATTGAATGGAGACGATTCGGACGGATGAAAAGTCCGGCAGGACAGTACCAGCTCAGTAGACGAATGGCGGATTGCACACCGCACGTTGGTAAGAACTTGGGTACAGGGAGGATTCGTATTTGACGGAGGATAATTCCGGTCGAGAAGAGACACGGCGAAGACAAGCACAGACGCGCAGGACGGTGGAAGTGGAGCGCGCCTGATAGTAACGTTTATGGTTTGAAGTATAGGTCTTCTAGCGAATCAGAGAAGAGGTTACGTGTCGTAGGGTTCATACGCACCTTGGAATCCTGCAACCTTCTGGCGCTAGTACTTCCAAGTACTTCTAGCGTTTAGTGAGAGGCACCAGGGGTAGTTACCCGTGCGGTTCGGGTACCCTTTTTGCTGGGCTCATGATTGCATTCTTTCCCAGCTCGCACCGTCTTTCCGCTCAGTCCGCAGTCTTTTCCTGAAATTCTGGTAGCCTTGTCACATCGCTTCTAGACCCATTTTGTCCCAGACACGTGGCCAGTGCCTGTGGTATGGTATATCCTGTTGATATGGACCTGGGCGCTGAGATTCGGTGTGCGGCAATATGAATCATACAGTTTTTGCACGGTTTGGCTAGTGGCAGATGCAGATATGGCCCGCGGGGATCTGGGGGTATGTCCGTTATGGAGCCACCACCGTCATCTCCCGTCACTGAGGAGAGTGTACCAAAAACAAAAAACACGAGGAAGACGAAAAGCGAGTTCGGAGGTGGTGGCAAAAGAGAAAGAGCATCCGGCCATCAGGGCATCACCGAGAACACGTGCTTCATCTCCGAATATTTACCCACGGTTCAACTTGTTGAGTTCGGGTAAGAACCTGTCCGGATTGCAGAGATCCGGTTTGAAAGGAAACTCAATAATGAAAAGTGCAATGTAGCTTTGTCGAGCGTCGGGGAAAATGAAGCAGGAAGTCACAAAAAGCCAAGCGAAAGCAAATGGCTGGGCTTTGAGTCGAACAAGGAGCATCTCCTTAACTTTTAGCTTGAGACGAGTCGAACAAGTAAAGAAGAAGTGTTACTGTTACACGACCCAGCCGCTCTTACATGCTCTTACAAAGCGGAATACGTACCGTACAATTCTGGTTTGTGCGAGCGAGAAAAAGCAAATGCCGATAAGAGTCGCAGAAAGATGCAAAAGGGAACGGCCTGGGCCTCGATTCGAACAAGGGGCTTCCTCTTAATTTTTAGAAGAATGTAGTGCCAAATAAGGAGGATATGTTACCATTACACTACCCAGCCATTCTTACCCTACCAAAGCTGGATAACTTATACATACCTCTCTTAGTCTCATTTCAAAGATAAGAGTGATTGGCCCTGGTTCAAATTAGTCTCACATGTGCCATCCTTGTAATCTGACAAAAAGTCGTTTCTCCTCACATTTGAGTCCGGTTCGTGTGGGTGAGAAAAATCAACTGCCGGCGAAAGGGAAACGGCCGGGCCTTGAGTTGAACAAGGAACTTCCTCATACAATTTTCATGGCACCAAATGAGAAATTGAAGAGTACGTGTTACAGTTACACCACCCGGCCTTTATATCTCTGCTTATGATATTGGATAAGTGCAGCGTTAAAGTCTCTTTTCACAAAAAGGGATGAGCTTGAACTCTGGCAGCTCAACCACGGCTGGCATCGAATTGGTAAGTACCATTGCTGAAGAACAATTAAATAATGTGAAGTTCTCTACTCTACCTCGTTTGCGTTTGATTCATGCGAGCGAGAAAATAATAAAAAGGGAACCGAAAAATGGCAAGCAAAAGCAAATGGCTGGGCCTTGACTCGAACAAAGGATTCCCTCTTAAATGATTACATTGCATTCAATACATGTAACGAGGGCGTGTTACCATTACACCACCCAGCCTTTCCTACTCCCTCTGCTAATCTGGATAAGTATCTTTCGTGGTCTTCTTTCAAAGATAAAAGTGATAAGACACCGGAAATTCAATCAGCTGTTTGTTCAACCTCTCGAGATCTGACTGCCCCAGAGTAACAGTGCAGGGCCGCTCTCAGAATGTCCACGGAGTCGATCTGCCATGAACCATAAGAGAAAGCGGAGATGCGAGGCTGGGAGTCACGAAAGACAAAAAAAAATACAAGAACAATTTGCCGAGCCTTGATTCGAACAAGGTATTTCCTCCGATTTTTCAGTACTCACTGACAAGATATCAGGATGTGTTACCATTACATCACCCGGCCATGATTGAACGCTCCACACGAAGCAAGATATGTAAAACTCTTAGCATCTGGTATCATTTAAAAGATACAAGTGATAGCAAGGAAGTTCAACCAACAGGCCAACCCCAGCAGACTTGTTGCAGCCAGAGTACATATGAAGACCCTTTTTCTAATATCAATGGACGGGAGAATGAGTTGAGATGGAGGTCTGCGCTAAATAGAAAAGACAAAGAAGCAAAAAGGTGCATGGAATCAAAAATGATTGAGCCTTGATTCGAACAAGGAGTTTCCTCTTAAAACGCCAGGGGATGAAGCCAGATTTTCAGAGGACGTGTTACCTTTACACCACCCGACCGTGTACAACACTACAGCTCAGCTGGATAAGTAGCTCTCCTTGAACCATTTCAAAGATAACAGTTGGCCCCTCGAAATAACCAACATTTCACCCCCAGCAAGGGTTGTAGCCCGAGTACATATGGAGTGTTCTCTTTTGTCAGCATACGGTTACAAAAAAAGGTCAGACGGAAATCACAGTCTACACAAAGGAGAAAAAGAAAAAAGAAACCCACAGGAAGCATATCCATAGCCGGGCCTTGAGTCGAACAAGGGAGTTCCTCTTAACCATTTGATGCTAGTATGTTAGGTAACGAGGATGTGTTACCGCTACAACACCCGGCTGTTCTTGATCTCGCAAACAGGCGGGTTACATGTGTATGAAATAGCCGATGCGAACAGGACGTGTAGATTTATTTGCATGGCATCCAGTTGTACCCAGCAGCATAATCAGTCTCATTTCAAAGATAAAGGTAATACCCTGGAAATTCAACCAACCCCCACATACGAAGGTCTTCACTTTTCTTGGCGGATGGGTGAAAAAGGACCGAGAAGGAAAAACAGGATTTGAAAGGGTTATGGCCGGACCTTGAGTCGAACAAGGCAGTTTCTCTTAAATTGTTCAAATCCACTGATTGAATAAGTAAAGAGGATGTGTTACCGCTACACCACCCGGCCGTTCTTCCTCCTGCATACACGCTGGTTATATGTGAATGCGGGAGCTAATGCGAACGGGTACATTTATTTGCATGGCTGTTCAATCGCAACGAGCGAATGTTCAAACAACTGGTTGTAGATGCCATCGGGCTCTAGCCGGTATGAATAAATATCCAACCCGCCCGTATGAATGAATATGCCACCTCGAGCCCTCGAAAAATGTTCAACCCCGTCCACCTCGCACCCACAGATTCAACCCAATTTTTAAATTAATTCAACCACCCAGGCAGTCCTACGCCCAGGAGATTGTTACATAATCACCATGCCGAACGGGAGAGTCGACGGAAGCGTTTGGAGCGTGTGGGAGAGTCAGCGTGTCAAGGCGTGTGGGAGCGAGTCGATGTAGCATCTGCGCAGAGGAAGGAATTATAGAGAATGCCTAGGCCTGCTCAGGGCCGGCAGGATGTTTGAATGGAGATCTCCGACCGGGGCACGCATACGGAAGTATTGGGTAGGCGGAAGAAAGGAAGATTCAGAAGGATTGATATTAGAGGTATGACGACTTTACTGGGAGCCCGAAGGAAGAAACGCGAAAATCGCGCTACGTGGGAATCGCCGATCGGGCCTGTTTGAATCCGTCTTGAACACAGCGGTGGAGATTGGATTCTGGAATTTGTAGTCCGGGTGGAAACTCGCGCTGAGGAATGCGTATAGTCAAAGAGGGAGTAGAGTCGGGAAACGGGCTGCCAGATGTACATACGTGAGTTCATTCAGAGCGCCGACGAACTGGAACTTGAACTTGGCGGCCGAATATTAGATCTAGGCTGCATCGCTTTAATTCGGAAGGGAGGAAACAGATGACAGAGGCAAAGACGGTCCAGGGATAAATGGAAGCAACAACACCACGGCCAGGGGATGTCGGGCCGCTGGAAGCTGGGGAGTAGAAGGTATGACGAAGGCCGCCATTTATACCACTTGGAGTGTGGACGCGAAAATCACGCTGCGTGCGAATCGCTGCGGGTACAGATGGCTAGCCAATCGCGCCTGTGTTGACTCGGGAAGTTGAAGGGCAAGAACTTACAGGTTGACATCCTGCGCGCCGATTCAGACGTTGACCAAGCCCCGAAACGCAGTGAGCGAGCACTATACATAGATTGAGACCATATGTGCATGTTGAAAAGACTGCAGATCTAGACTGTGTGCACAACACATACCGAACGCCGACGGAAATTTCTTTTCTTTCTTCTTGAAAAGCTTTGCTTGAATCGGAATCCTGAGAGCGTGCAAGTTGGAACTTACATAGTCCGGCCCGCACTGTGAATATTTCAGGAAGAAGAAGCAGAAGTATAATTAGTCGCGGTATCTGGCAGACCGGTATGACGGAGTGCCAACTGAACATTGAACGATGACGGAGTGACCGAAATTTACGCCGTGCGGTATTCGAGGGATTGGAAGATGACGGAGCGGAGCGAGCGACTGAAATTGAAGCGTTCGATCTTGCCTTCGATGCAATTTCGATCGAACGGGAGCAGACTCCAGGGCTTGAACGCGAAAATCGCGCTGCGTGCGAATTGCTGCGTCGAGCCTGAATCCTTCTCGGGCCGGTCGCAAAAATAACTAGAGAATCAACTCCGAGGGGATTGCGCCGTCCAGGACTTCGAGTCCGAGGTTGGGGTTGGAGAGACTCTTCACGCAAAGTGAGTTCAGGATGTGGATCACGGTTGATGTGGGTGCGGTGTGGTTGCAATTGCGCTGTAGAGACGCGGAAGGAACGCGCCGAGAGAAGATGTACTATTGCACTTGTGCGGTGGCTGTCGGTGTTGAAGTGGAGAGTGCTTTGATTTCCGTTAGAGCCGTTAGCTTTATTTCCTCGGTAACGCATGGATCCGAAAAATTCAACCCGCCAGCCACAGAAGACGCTTGCGGCTGGAGGATGCGTATAGAGTCGTGGCCTGGACGCGGCTCGGGGTCGAGAGTTGTTTTTGGTTGGTTGAGTTCTAGTTTCGGATTGTGTGCGCAGGCTGAACTGAGTCTATCAGAGAAGCTCTGGATTGAGACTGTGTTGATGTTCTACATACGTATGCTTTAGAAGCAAAAGAGCGCGTTTTTCAGGAATTCAACATCTCAACCTGTAAAATTTCACAGGTTGGCATGCGCGTCTCGACCAAGCCGGTGAGAATTGTTTCTACTTCTAGTTTAGGGTATGGTTTTAGTTGAAGTGATCGTACTGTAGGAACGTACCGGAGAATGCGGTAGCGCGTTTCTTGAAACCCGGACCGTATGCCGCACTGCCATGTAAATATTTCGGGAAGAAGAAGCAGAATTGAAGTAGAGGTATTACGGAGTGCCCACCGAACATTGAACGATGACGGAGTCCTTCAGCAGATATTAATGAAAGCAAGAAAGCGAAAATCGCGCTGCGGGTGCGAATGCTGGGTGTGGGCTTGGGGGTGTGGTGTAAAGAGGTGGAAGGCAACTCGAAAGACTTTAAGAGATGGAAGGCAACCCGCCTAGTCGAGAAAATGGATTCAAGAAAAATACAACGCGTAGATTCAAGAAAATCTGAACCGCCACGCAGTGCATAGAAGACGGCTCCGACTGGCCATGGTGGACGGTGCAGAGTCGTTTATTGATATTTTGATTTTAGTTTCAGTTGTTTTAGAGTTTAGAATTAGTTTCGGATTTGGATCGTGGGCACAGGCTGGACTGAGTTTATTATATATAGAGAGGCTTTGGATTGAGATCGTGCACAGTCCTCACTTTGGGAAGTCGAAAGAAGTACTGTACCTTTTTTCCTGGAAAAGCTTGACGCTTGACGTTCCGTGAGTATTCGTGGGCTTCTTGTGATTGGAAGAACAAGCCTGAGGTGGGAGGTCGGGCCGTAACGAACTTGGGGAGTAGAAGAGGGAGCTATGACGAAGGGATGGAACCAGATATTAATGAAAGCATGAACACGAAAATCGCGCTGCGTGCGAATCGCTGCGTGCGGGTGCAAATTAATTAGGACGAGTGGTGCCTGTCTCTGGGGCTTCGGAGTGGCGAGATTGCGGACGCTGGTTGGAGAGATCCGGGTGGAGACGCGCTGCGGAGACGTCAGAGGAGGGAGATGGGGTGTGGAAACTAGCCATGGATATTAATCTGGTGCGTGGAGACTCGTCCTCGTCGCGTCAATGGTAGCGAGATAGAACGAGAGAAAGAAAGAAACACGCTTGGATCGAGGAGCAGCTCCACATATAGAGAGAGACTTGACTTGAAGAAAGGCGAAGGCGAATGAGAAGAAGAATGAGAACGGAAGATTGAACACAGCTGCAACCACGATTGAACCACGAAGGCGCAAAGCGCGTGGGGGATTCGGAACAGCGGTTTAGATGAGGACGGACGTCGACGGCGCGAAAACGATTGCGGGTAAAGACACAGTCCTTCCAATTCCGCGTTCTAAAATTCCGGGTTGAAATTTTTTTGCAAGCAGGCGGCGAGAGGGAGTCGCGGATATGGCGCCATTTGCAAAAGCAAATAGCGCGGATCCTGTTTTCTTCTGCAGCATCTATGCTGGGCGCCGTTTCCAACTTTTCATATGATTGATATTCCCAAGTTCCAACGCGTCACTTGTGATATTGAAGAAGAGAAGAGGATGATGAGTAGCGGAATGGGGAAGTCCGAGACAACGCACTGGCCCTGGAGGCTGGGGTGGAGTACGCGGATGCGTGCATACACATCCGTTGTAAGTAATAGCGGGAGCGGCGCGAATGTTGATGTCAGATTGATGGACGCGTCAGATTGGAGTTGAAGTTGACGGTCAAACATAATTCGACGCGTTGATATTGATGTGCGACGTGGATATTGACGTGCGCCGCGCCACAACTCCGGACGCGTGGGATCCCAGTCCGGGTCCAGGAAATACTTTCGGGCCTGCACAACATTGAAATCGCTAAGGAGTGCGTGTACATGTGTACGCTAGTCCGTTCTCGGGCGAAGGCTGTCTGTGCTCGGGCTCCCGACTTGTAGTGGTTCGTTCGTTGGGTAGTTTTGGAGCGGTCTTCATGTACTTGATATCTTGATATCGGTCGGGAAGTAGGGATATCCGCACAGTGGGATGGAGGGGCGGGGAGAGTTGTTTGTTTGTTGGCGGCGTTCAAGGCGTGGAGAGAACGCGTCGATACTCGATGTGGGATGTGACGCCACGTGACGCTACGATATTGACGTGCGACGCGACGCGCAAGGTATTGATGTGCGACTCCGACGCGACGCGTTGAATCCAGTCCACGAAGTGGTTTGAGTCACGTCTCAGGTGCCCAGATACGGCGAGTTGGCCTCGCAACAGCTTCAAACTCAAGTACGGAGTCCCAGCCCGGCGTGTGCGTAGAATACTCCCCAAGTCCGCTCGCGCACGGACGGACGGACGCGGGACGGACGCGTGTCCGGTCTCACGGGGCCGTGTGCCGTGCGTGGCGTTCGGAGTAATTAAGTCGGTCTAAGCGCAGGACAAAGCGCAACGACAGGCTTGAGCATAAGCGCAACGACAAAGAGAGAGGGACAAAGCAAGAGCAGGGCAGAGCATTGCACAAAGGATCTGGAAGACAAAGCAAAGGCGGGCTTTTGCAATTGATCGTCGGCTCTAAGTATCCTTCCGATCTGGGGTAGTTAGGATTAGTTATTGTAATGAAATACGCGTACGCGTACGCGCTTTGTGTGTCTGTGTTCTCGAGAGTTCTCTCGTCTGTAAGTTGGGGAGAAAGTAAACCTTGTCCGGGTCCTTGTAAGTTGTAAGTACAAAGCAAGGCAAGTAACCTTGTCCGTTGTGCCCCGGCTGCCGTACGCACCCCACTCAAAATTGAACACGCATCTGCCGGCGGGATGCGCTCACCACCGCTGCCAGCGCATCGTCATCGCTGACGCAGCGGCACGCATCTTTAGATGCGGTTACCAGCTGATACCAGCATCCAAATGATCCAAACGCCAACCGGCGGGGATATCACGTATTACCTCACATACGGAAACAGCCGCTGTAACGCTGATGGTCG